TATTAATTTATTTATTGGAAGACACGCTTTACGTAGAAACATCCGTGGTGAGACATTTGCGGTATACTCACTTCTTATTACATACCAAGTATGAAAGAATGAAACAATCGGGATAGATATGTGGAACGTTTACCAACAAAGGCATAGAAGAAAAAATTCAGTCGAAGGATGGAACAACAGGCTGAATTCCTTTCTAAAAAATCTCATCGGCACATAGCAAATTTAATAGAACAGCATAAACTGGAAGCAAAGATAAACGTTCAATTGATTTAGAAGGAAACATAAATACAAAAAACAGGTGCAACTCCAGTACACGTGAAAGAAGTGAAACTTCTTTGGCGATCTCCTATACCTTTATAAAGAATAAGTAATAATTGGTGAAAGAGAGAGTACGAGAATTTTCAGGATTTATGTTTTCCAGCATATTTTATTTTTAGTCCACCTAAGGAGTATTACTTTAATACGTTTTTATGTAATTCAATAACAAAAAAATGATCAAATTTTTTTCGCTTCCGTTTATTTTTCCAAATGCTTAATAAACCGTAAACTATCAATAACTACAAGGAATGAAAGCCGGAGACTTCTGGAATGGAGACTTTAGAATAATACACACAGGATCGGTGGAAGGTAATTCGGGGGTAGGAATTGTAATGCGTAGGGAAGCAGGGCAAAGTGTAGAAAGTTATTTACAAAAAGGCAATAGGGTAGTTATGGTTAACTTAAACTCGAAGCCGGTAAAAACGGCATTAGTCAGGTCTACATACCTACATCATCTTACAGTGATGAAGACGTAAAAGCGGTTTATGCAAATACAGAAAACATGTTAACTCTAGTGAAAGAGCAGGAAAACCTAATAGTTGTAGCAGACTTCAATACAGTAATAGGTGAAGGTAAAGACGGTGCAATAGCAGGCTCTTTTGGGTTAGGCAATAAAAATGATAGGGGAGATAGACTGATAGAATTTCGCGAAAACTTTATTCAACCATCACGTTAGGAGGTCCTATACGTGAAAGATATCAAAGGATTTAGGAAGATATCAGTTAGATTACATACTGGTTAGGCAAAGATTTAAAAATCAAGTGAAGGACTGTAAGAGTTATCCAGGAGCAGACATAGATAGCGATCATAACTTAGTAGTTATGAAGACCAATCTTAAATTGAAAATTCTGAAAAAGAGGGAAGGTAGGAGACGTCTTGACTTACAAAAGCTAAAATGTAACGAAACGCGTGATAGGCTACGTACAAGGACCGACGAAATATTAAAAGCGACGGGAGAAACAAATGATAGGGACATAGACAGAATGGAACTGCATTAAGACGTGCATAAAATTAGCAGCTACAGATATACTAGGTCTTAAACAAAACGAAAGTAGGAAACCCTGAATAACAAATAAGATTGTAGGATTAATAGATGAAAGACGGAAATACAAAAACAGGACAGACAAAGAAAGGCAAAAAAGATATAAGGCTATAAAGTGGGTAATAATTAGGAAGTGTAGGGCAGCTAAGCAACAGTGGATTGATAGGTGTAAAGAAGTAGAGGAAAAATTTGAAATAGGTAAAACCGATAAGGCTTATAATATAATTACAAGGAATTTTAGAGATGTAGGTACATTAGTTATAATATAAGAAACAAGGCAGGGGTCATTTTGATAGAAAATGAGGAAAAGGTAGATAGGTGAGTTAGAAGATATACTAGAGAAGGAAGATAATGTGGAGATAGATGAGCTTGGTTATCCCATAATGACTGAAGAGTTCGATGTAGCATTAAAAAACTTAAAGAATCATAAGACGCCAGGTGTAGATGGGATACAGGGGGAAATTCCAAAATATGTAGGACAAGAGGTTAAAGACCGTATGTTTAAGCTAGTTAGTCGCATTTACGAGACGGGGAAAGTCCCAGAGGATTATAAACGGAACGTAGTAGTAACATTACCTATAAAGAGGGGCGCGAATAGGTGCGAGACATTTAGAACAATTAGCTTAACTTTCTATGCGTCAAAAATTTTAACTAGAATTGTACAGAGGAGGATGGAAAAAAGGGCGGAAGAACTGTTAGGGGAAGATCAATGAGCGCACATCATGAGACTACGTTTTCATACCTTCCTTCGCTTGAAACCATTTCCACCTAATCTACCTTAACATAGTCGAGCCTAAGCCCTTAATGCGCAGCACGTAACCCTTAAAAATTCTCAATAATATTATAATTTACCAAAGCAACTCATCTTTATGTCTCTAGCAGCAAAAACATACAAAGTTACGATAGTCTTTTTCACTCATCATACACGCATATCGTTATTTCTTTTGAAACTATTCTGAGAAACAAGGAAGTGCAGTAAATGCACGATCTGAATTATTTATACAATGTGACAGGTGTATTAATAAAACCTTACATAATTTAATAAAATTATGTACTTGTCCATTTGGTAGCAGTGGTAATAAATGAATACTAAAGCAAATAAATTCCTTATGGATTATGAAACACATAATCTGTACAACGATACAATAAATATAATTGAAACTATCTGAAATATCGAAATAACTATCTTTTTTTTTTAAGTTCATATAATTATTCAAATGCTGCAGCAAAAAAACCTCCACATTTTCGAGAAAAGAATAAACAAAAATGGAATAAAGAGGAGAGAGAGGATGCCAAGCAATTCACCTGCTTAGGATACACAAACGAAAAGTAATAACAGTGACGGCATAAGAAACTAAGAGACAAGGATGCAGCAGCAATGACACAATGAAGTATGGCGAATTGGAGAAACGAGATTCGGCGGAGACTTCGGAAGGAGAATGCTGATGATTTTTGCCCTTATTAAAAGTGCATTAATATATGCAGTAGAAATATGGGCGCGTAAAAAAAAACGAAAATATAAAAACTACAGCAGAAATACATAAAAGGAATCTTAATACTGAAGAGGTGCAGCACACCAGGATATCTGGTAAAGAAGGAAACCAAAATTGAAGAGATAAGAATAGGAGGAATGAGATTTTTGAAATACGAAGAAGAAGGAAGAAACTCGGAGAACAAACTATTAAGAATGCAGAAGAGGACAGACAAGATAAGACTGAAAAATACAAGACTTGAAAAACCGAAATATGAACTACTAAAAAAGAGCGGAATGCAAGATTGGGAAATGGAAGTTACGACAAAAAGAAGAGAGAATATGATCCAACGCTGGAAGAAAGGAATAGAAGACGAATACAAAAGTAAAAGACAAAACAAACTGCAAAAATCTACCTATGTCCCAGGATACGTAAGATATGGTCAAGCTCATACACAAATTTAGCGAATAATTAAAAAATTAAAAAGAAGACTCACCCCTGCAGTTTAGCGTTGATAATGCCCACGTATGAAGTAAGCGAAACACGAAGTTTTTGTGGTAATTAGGGGTGAGTCTTCTTTTTAATTTTTTAATTAATTATTATTTACCACTTCTACTTTACAAATTTAGCGGTTTTTTTTTAATTATGATTTAATTAATTAATCCCTTAAATTCCCTTAAATTCTATCGAAAATAGGACAACACAACAAATCAAAGATCATCAATTAATCATACATACTTCAAAATAATGTCAAATAATCCTGTTAAGATCGTAGGTTAAGATACACCAGCATATGACCACATTTACCAGTTTCGAGTCTGATTGAGTCCGAAACTGTCATCATTTTGAATCGGTCATACACCGGTGAATATTAATGTAAACCGAGACAATTCTTACATTTAACCACTCCATAGTCACTCATAAATATGCTGACTGTACTGCTAATTTTCATTAATAAGCAATTTCCATCTATTTATAATTTTAGTTATTGTAACAATTTTTGACTTTACTTTATAACTGCCCACCCTTTATAGTCATAATTTCACTCAAAATAATGATAACGACGATTAACCAACTCGATATGGTGGTGATGACATTCACTGGCGTATGAGCGAAAATAAATAACGCACATTCACCAGTTGACTGGTGATTATATCTCTTATGTTCACAAAGTTTGTATAGGTACGGTTTCACGAATCGAATGCATAAAACCGCATCTCAATCTGACTTACTTCGATTCGAAGGTTTGGCCTATTTTTGTGCTTTATTTCCTCGAATAATAGGATTAGCATACCTACAAACACTGCTTAAGAGTTAAGATAATGCTGGTGACTAATAGTGTTGTACTTATACACTATATAATAATACTGCAATCAACTGCAATCTCTAATTTATTATATCTATCCATAGGTGAAAAGATTAGCTAAGAAAAAATATTACAGAGAATAAAAACCATTTACCTGCTAAACCAATAATTTTATGGGCATAAATTTTTATGCCATTTTTTTAGGCACACGTGTAAGATTAAAAAAGACTTATCATTTTAAAAACAATCCAGATAATCGTAAAAGAGATAAATTACAATGTTGTATTAAAAATTATCTTTCCTTGAAAACTGATGAGTGTTTTAAAAGCACTTGTAGGTACCCTCCACCTGCCTACTTATCGTTAGATTAATTGCTTTCCGATAAATAAAAATTTAATAGTAATCCGTCCCATTATTAAACAATAAATAAATTAGACTTTTTTAATACAAGATCAACACAATCAATCACTTTCTATTATTTTTATAATCGTCTAAATTTCAATAAACCAACTTATATTTTGATAAGCTCTTTAATGATGAAGACATATATTATAAAAACACAATGAAAATAGAAAAGTAAAAAATAAATATGCAATTCATAATTAAAATGAACAGGAACTTTCTTCAGAGGGTACCTATCTATTATCAAATGATCAACAAAACAAATAATCATGATTACCGTTACGCAAAACTAAAACATTAAATATACGTAATTTGAAATGGTATTAATTAACTGTAAAGAAGATACTACTTTGATATGTTCTCAAAAAATAAAAGCAATTACAAAATAACAAAATCAAATAAAAGTTTCGAGGGATACATTATAAAATTTATTTCTGCAAATGAGGTTATGCTTACATACCTATTTTGTAGTAAAAGTTCTACGCTCTGCCAATAATCTTGCAATTTTAGAGACTAAAAATTGTTTCATTTTATTCATGCAGATCTAAATGCAGTTTAAAAAACAGATTGTGCTCAAATTCACACACATGCAATTCACGGAACTTCATAAAACGTCAAAACAGTACCTACTCCGAAATTCTACAACCACAACAACAGACGCGACAAACGCGACTGATAAGTGAAATAACAGTATTAGTATAAAAATGAACGGAAACCGAAGTACGTTCGTCCTAAACGTTACCATAATGATACTGTTCCTGACATCTACCTTTTGTATTTAAAACTGGTACTATTTTCCATACCATTTTAGTATTTTGAATTTTTTTAATATTTACAAATTTTCATAAAAAAATACGTAACTTGATTTAACATTGATAAATAGATAAAATATGTGGCTATTCGGTATTTATTAGCCATGTTTCCATTATTGTTATAAAATAGCATTGCTTGAAAAATTATCTTTTCTTTTTAATAAGGTAATCTGTAAACATATTTGGTAAACATGAAGGTTTCTGCCATATCGCCGTATCTGCTTGTCTGTGGTATCTTTTATCTATGGTGTCTTCTTTGCATTTGCAAATGTGATAGAGGTTATGTTATTTTATATAAGTTGCAATTTTTATTTTAAGAAAGAAATTGCTTTATTTTGTAGAATGAATTTTATTAATTATAACTAAAGTTGGTTTTTGGTAAACTTGGGTTGTTTTAAAAAAAAATGTTACTTTAGAATGACAGATTTAGAACTTCAAGAAGAAGAAAGAGAAGCCCTATTATCCATTTATGATGGAGATTCATCATTCAACCAACTTAGTCCAACAACTTTTCAATACAAGGTATTGTAGTTTTTAGGGCATTCAATTTTACTGAATACTTAATTCGTACAGTTTGGAGTTTCAGATGATCCAAAGTCTTTTTTGTTGGAGATCAAATGGGGTGAACATTACCCATCGGAGCCTCCTCAAATTAATATGGATACATTCTACAATAAACATATGTAAGTCATTCCTCTCCCATATATTCCTGTTTACAGTTAGCACTTTTTCTGTATGTAGAACCAATTCATTAAAAAATAAAATTATCAAGCTAGTTTCGGATGAATCGCAAGAATTCTTAGGCATGTCAATGACTTATTCCTTATTTGAATTGGTAAAGGAAAGGTTTGATGACCTAATAAAAGAGCAACCAGATGAAGAACCTACAACTGTAGAAGATAACATACATAAACTAAGCTTGTCAGAGCCTCTTGTAAGTCATTAATTTTTCTAAATGAATATATTAATTAGATGTATATTGTAGGAGGAACAAAAAAAGAAACAACCAAAAAAGGAACAATTGACAAAAGCACAGAAACGTAGGCAATGGGATAGAGTTACTGACAGAGGTGAAAAACCTAGAGGTTGGGATTGGGTAGACATTGTTAAACACTTATCACAAACAGGTGCAAAAGAGGGAAATGTATCAGGAACCTCTTAATACCTATACTACATTTTATACTGCTTATATCAAAGTTAATTTTTCTAAAACAAAAGTATTGCTTCTAATTATATCTCCATATTAAATAAACTAGTTGAAATGCCTAGAAAATATGTATTGCACTTTTTTTGTACATTTTTAATAAAAAATGATATATGTACATTTGTTAAATACATAAAAAATTAATGGTATATCACATGTTCAATTTTAACCATAACATACAAACCCCCATCCATAATAATAAGGTAGTACTTAAAATATTTAATTATCCTTTTTACTGTGATGGCAATGACCATATGACTCACTTGAATCTATTCTCCAATTAGCACGCCATTCTCCCACCTCAAGAGCATGAAGGTCTGTATTCCATCCTGTAAATTCAAATATTATTTTTTTACACCAAAATTGCAGAAATTTAACTGCAACCCAAGTGCAATTAATATCTTACTATTAATTTTCAAGGCTGTGAAAAACATTTGCTTTTCCTGTATAACAAAATCGTTTAAAGCTTTGAGAACATCAAAAGGTAGATTTTTTTCATATTCTCCAACACTTCGAGTATATTCCTTCAATACAATATACAATCTCATAACTGGAGTAACATGGTGTAGTTGTCTTTTTAAATGCAAATTCTGTAATCGAATAAAGTACTATAAGAAGTTCCACCAAAAACTTTCCATAAATATTATCAGCAAATGCAATTTTAATTAAATTAAGTAATTGTTATTACACAAATACATATTATTATTATAGGAGAATGAAAATTATTTATTTACCAGTGGAACGTCGTTGTAATAGCAAGTAGCAATTCCTAATAAAACTGCATGGAAATAAGCAGAAATAACATCTTCCGAAGTCTCGTCATTTTGAAGAGCTATATAAATTATTCGTCTTTTGGGACAAGGAATTAACAAATACTTCTGTGAACTAAATGCTTCGATGTAATACCTTAATTCAGACGATTTAATACTTGATGCAATACTTTGGAATGAAGTAGCTATTTTTATTTTATAACCACATATTTGTTCGACTACAAAAAACATTAAAAATTAAAATGATACTAAATATAAAGTATGATTAAAAATTATGTTAAAACCTTTGGGTCCAAATCCAATTACAACAGGCTCTTTTTTATTGACTGTTTGGGGATTTGGAACTGTATTATGTCTTATATATGTGTCCAAAACTATCACCAAACGTGATATATTCAAATGAGCAAATTTAACTGCACAAACTGCTTTATAATTCGCTAATAAGTGGATTACAGTAAATATTATAAACAACGCCCATTCCTGCCTGGAAGAGAAATTAAATGTCAACTAAAATTAAAAATACATGTGTTTCAGTAATAATAAAGCATAAAAAATATACATCACATTTGTATTTTAAAATGTGTAATATCTGAAAGCTGTTGCCGGGTAAACATGGGCGAACTGCCTCTTACATTTATAAATCTCGTATTTTTTAAGCAATTTTTTTTGCACTGCTATTGCGTGAAATTTTAAATGTAATTTTTCCTCTTATACGCAGCAGCAGGAATACCAAGAGATTACCTCTGCATTCGGTATCTGATTAGGCCAAAATCCTCTACGTTTCGCAATAATAATGTTTTTTTAATTTTCAAAGTAACATTCGTGATTTGTTGTTATTAAGAGTTACTCGACCTTATGCTGTTCCTTGTTTTACCTCATTGACCCAGGACCTTTCTGTGGGTATCTGTAGCAACCTAATTAAACAAAAATTGCGAAATGGGTCTCTTTAGAACCCTATCGGGACTAGAGAACACGACAACAACGTAGGCAACGTATCTACAAACTGAAAGGAGCAAATAAATTCACAGGTCAATGGAGACTCTAGTGTAATATTCTGAAGCTGAATAAGGAACTCTAGTAATAACATGTGCAAAACATGGAATACATGGCCCCAGAGACAATTAGTCCATGCTTACTTAGGTATGGTCTTTTTTGGGTTTTGTAAGTTTGCAAAACCCTTTTAAATGCAAATGCAAAAACAACTAATTCATTATTACCTAGGCTCTGTTAAAATTGCCAGTAGAAATATTCCACAGAAGCTTGCTACAAGATTCACAAACGTCTCTTGACTGCCATCCTTTGCTGATACATCTGCCATATTACCTTTAATTGCCTGATGTTGTGTCAAAGAAGCTCTGGTAGCCCCTCCTGCTACTCCCACCTGAAAACCGTATTCCAAAATCTTGTGTTTTAATAATTTTTAGTTTACTTAACTAACCACTGCTTTCATTGTAGTTGTCATGCATAAAATTTGAAGTGAATAACTGCTGATCATTGGCACAAAAAGTTCAAGACACATTGCAGCATCATTTAGAATGTCCGCCACAAGCCTCCACTTTTTGCAATCTGCATCTAAACCAGTCCTAATTTGGTGATAACTCCAAAAAATCTTTACATCTAGTATATGAACTTACCCTTTCCACCATGCAAATATAATTCTTCCCAACATTCCTGTTCCATCCTTTACAATCCATGTCACCGCTGCTGCAAACGGTGTTGCCTCTGCATCACCTACTCCAACACCTTTTAATATTGCTTGTGTAGTAAATGTACCAGTTATTGTACTGCAGAAAGCTTGCACAGTGTCCCATATTTGAAACTCCAAGTAATCTTCGCTGACACTGTCAGGATAACCATGAGGAAGAAACACTTCTCTAAAAAGATCTTGTACTCGTTGTAATAGTGATGTTGAGAATGTTTCTGCAGAAGTACTACTTACAACAGTATTTATACCTAAAGTGATTAAATCTGTTAATATTTTGGTTACTAACCCACTTAAAAATTAAACTTTTTTAAACAGAATGGAAGTAGTTTTATCTATTTTTCTCCTAAAAAGGAAACTTTTGGTATAATATTAGAGATTAATTAAAATAAAACTCAAGGTTACATGCTTCTGTTGCTTAAATTAAAAAGAGTAATTTTCATTTTAAAAATAGTAAATATTAAATACCTTCTTCTCTGGAAAATAAAACAGATCTTCCTAATGAACCACACTTTTCTACAATTAATAATTGTTTTTGGGTCATTTTCAAATAAAATTCTTGTTTTTCACGCAAAAAAATCCTATAATAATATTTTTTATTTCCACTTTTAATTTATTAAACGCATTTTAAACATTAAACGTCAGCAAAACCACACCACAACCATATAATCAAAGCATTTCGATTTCGCACATGTCACAATCATAAGAGCAATTTTTATGCTGATGACGTCATAAACGGGGAAAGTTTCAATTTCTAGCATAAGAAATTGTGTCATAGGTATTTTTTAATGTTTTATTCAGTTTTTACCCGTAATTAATTCCATAACTTTTTCAACTTACTTTGTATTTGCACCGTCTATACTAACTCACTCTTCCATGAAGGTCTGTATTCCATCCTGTAAATTC